CCAAGCCGAAATAGGACATGGACAGAAAAGGGCCCAGTGGAAAGGTCTTTCCTTGCCCGTTGGTCCCCCCCCCAAATGGCCCCCCAGCCCGACCACGCGCTGATCGATTGCAAGACCAAGGCTTCTTCCTGTCTCCATGGGGTGCCGGGGCCAACCACTTGGGCATCCTCCACTGCACTCCTGGCCACAGCAGAGAGCTGCCTGGAAGAGGGGCAACCGGGACAGAATCCGGCATCCCGACCGGGACTAGAACCCGGTGTGCCGGTGCCGCAAGGCGGAGGATTAGCCTAGTGAGCTGCGGCGCCGGCCTCATTTTATTTTATACTCATAAGATTAACCCTGCATTAAGTAAAAAATTCAACAAATAGTAAGAAGAAAAAAAATACCTCCTCAACAGTAGAGACTAGGGCTAAAACAATCATTGGATCTCAAAATGTCAATTTTGCTCATATACATTACTTTTTTGTGCTCTATTGTTTATCACAGATCAGGGAGAACATATTGTATTTGTCTTTTTGGGATCGGCTTATTTCACTAAGTATAATGATTTCCAGTTGCATCCATTTTGTGGCAAAAGACAGGATTTTATTCTTTTTTACGGCTGAATAATATTCCATAGTGTGTGTGTGTGTGTGTGCGCGCGTGTGTGCGCCACATTTTCTTTATCCAGTTGATCCCATATCTTAGCTATTGTGAATTGAACTGTAATAAACATGGGGGTACAGATAACTCTTTCATATGCTGATTTCATTTCCTTTGGGTAAATTCCCAGGAGTGGGATGGCTGGGTCATATGGTAGACTTATTTTCATATTTTTGAGGTATTTCCATACTGTCTTGCACAATGGCTGTACTAGTTTACATTCCCACCAACAGTGGATTAGGGTACCTTTTCCCCCACATCCTCGCCAGCATTTGTTGTGTGTTGATATCTGTATGAAAGCCATTCTAAGTGGGGTGAGGTGAAACCTCATCGTGGTTTTGATTTGCATTTCCCTGATGGCTAGTGATCCTGAGCATTTTTTCATACATCTGTTGGCCATTTGAATTTCCTCTCTTGAAAAATGCCTGTTCAAGTCCTTTGCCCATTTCTTACCTGGATTGTGTGTTTTGTTAATGAGTTTCTTGAGCTCTTTATAGATTCTGGATATTACTCTTTTATCAGTTGCATAGTTTGCAAATATTGAACTTTCTGTTTTAATGTGTGTTTTATGTACCTCCCCATCTTTTTCTTTCCCTGGGATCATAATTGCATTTTTGAAAGCTGAGACTCTTCCTATCCTCTTTAGTTGCTTTGACAACTTCTGGAAAACTGCCTTCCTAAAGCTTTGGATCCAGGACTAACTGTGCCTACACTGCTATTTCTGTCTTGCCTTTTATCAGCTGGCTGTATAGCCACTTTCTCCTACAGTTACTATTATCTTACTGTACAAATCAGCTTCCAGTTGTAGGTTAGAAATGGGTTGTTTCAGTTATTGATTGCTCCAAAACACAGTGGCTTTTGTTTTAATAACAAGAATGTATTTTATTCATTGTGATGAATAATTCTGTGTGTCAACTTGACTGAGCCATGAGGTGCCCAGATATTTGGCCAAACAGCATTATCCTGACTGTGACACGCATGCTTCTGCCAGTTGAATGGTTCCCACAGAGCTCCCCCCTTGCTCCTTGCAGTGCGAACTGTATTAGCACAAAGGCTGGGGCCTGAAGTCATCTGAATTCTTGGTTACTCACCCACATCTGGCAGTTGATGTTGGCTATGGCCTCACTGGGACGGACCTAGAATATCAACCCCAGGCCTCTGCATCAGATGCTGGGGCTTCCTCCTGCGTGGTCTCAGAGCATGCAGGCTGGGTTCCCAGGGAGTCGAGGACAAGCCACAGCATCTTTCCTGACCCAGCTTCAGCAGCCACAGAGTAAGTACCTCCTGTCTTGGTCACAGGTCCATTCTGATTCAAAGGAAGGGAGTATCATGTTGTGGAAAGAGCAGGTGAAATAGGAAACCTCACTAGGGCCATCTGGGAAACAGAATTCCCCACGTATGTCATCAACTGCATTTACTGTCCACTTCTAGACCAGCCTTCAGGGATGGAAATGCCCAATCGGGCAAGTCAGAGCCTCGTCCTGTGCTCTGCTCTGAATGATGACCAGCAGGCATGCACGCCTCGCAAGCTTCACTCATTTCCCCCAACCTGACCAAGGAGGCAGCACTAACCTGCAGTAACAGTATAGCTCTCTGTTTGGTTTTTTATCCTTTGCTGCATAGCCCCCACCTTTAGGGTCCTAAATTTTCACACTTTTGTGACTAGTTGTCTTCCTCCCTTAAAGTTCTCTCACTCCCACTCCCTCCATTACTTTTAAAGCCAAAGCCCATCTTGACGCACACCTACCACAGTTTGGATTGATGCCACCAGAGGCAGCTCTGGGGTAATGCTGCTACCAGCCAGGAGACACCAGGTGCCACCAAACACTGGAGAAGCAGGTAGATTGTCCCATAGAGATTTCCAGGGGAGGCCGGCGCCGCGGCTCAATAGGCTAATCCACCTTGCGGCGCCGGCATACCGGGTTCTAGTCCCTGTCGGGGCACTGGATGCTGTCCCGGTTGCCCCTCTTCCAGGCCAGCTCTCTGCTGTGGCCCAGGAGTGCAGTGGAGGATGGCCCAAGTGGTTGGGCCCTACACCCCATGGGAGACCAGGAGAAGCACCTGGCTCTGGGCTTCGGATCAGCGCTGTGTGCTGGCCACAGTGGCCATTGGAGGGTGAACCAATGGTAAAGGAAGACCTTTCTCTCTGTCTCTCGCTCTCACTGTCCACTCTGCCTGTCAAAAAAAAAAAAGATTTCCAGGGAAGTGCATCCCTGCGGACACCTTGGCTTCTGACTGCTGCGGAACAATCCATTTCTGAGGGTTAAGCCCCCTGGTTTGTGGTAACATGTTGCAGCAATCCAAGAAAATTAACACAGCAAGAAACTTACCCTTTCGGCTCTCACCTTGCTCATCTGTAAAATGGGAACATAACTACCTTTCCCACATAACTATTGGAAAGTTTACCTCAGAAAAGATATAGAAAGCCCTGGGCCAGTACTTGGCAGATAATAGCATTCAGTGAGTAACTGAAGGAGAGAGAAAACCCTCAGGGGGCTGGCACTGTGGCACAGCAGGTTAATGCCCTGGCCTGGAGCGCCAGCATCCTATAAGGGTGCCAGTTCAAGTCTCGGCTGCTCCACTTCCGATCCAGCTCTCTGCTATGGCCTGAGAAAGTAGTGGAGGATGGCCCAAGTCCTTGGGCTCCTACACTGCATGGGAGACCTGGAGGAAGCTCCTGGCTCCTGGCTTCAGATCGGCGCAGCTCCGGCTGTTGCAGCCAACTGGGGAGTGAACCAGCAGATGGAAGACCTCTCTCTCTCTCTCTGCCTCTCCTCTCTCTCTGTAACTCTGACTTTCAAATAAATAAATAAATCTTTTTAAAAAGAAAAAGAAAAAAAAACCCTCAGGGCCAGTGCTGTGGCATAGTGGGTAAAGCTGCCACCTACAGTGCCAGCATCCCATAAGGGCACCGGTTCTAGTCCCAGCTGCTCCACTTCCATTTCAGCTCTCTGCTATGGCCTGGGAAAGAAGCAGGAGATGGCCCAAGTCCTTCGGCCCCTGCACCTGTGCGGGAGACCCAGAAGAAGCTCCTGGCTCTTGGCTTCAGATCAGCGCAGCTCTGGCCATTGCGGCCATCTGGGGAGTGAACCAGCAGATGGAAGACCTCTCTCTCTGGCTCTACCTCTCTCTGTAACTCTTTCAAATAAATAAAATAAAGCATCAAAAAAAGAAGAAAAAACTCAGTTTGCTTAATTTATCCTGTAATGAAATGACTCAGAAATGTGATCACTTATTTTCTAAGCTTGATTAGTTCAAGTACTTTTAATCTATTATATTGTTTATCAAAACTGCCTTGAGTGTCCTATGTCCTAATGGTTTTATTTCTAAATATGTGGCATTTCTCAAGGACAAACATGGCTTTCTGCTTCCCACTTGTGATAAGTGTTTGAGAAAATGCTTTTCCCTCTAGATTTAAATTGCACTTTAATCCATCTTTTAAAACCAATTTTGTCTCAGCAGTTGAATTTCAATAGCATTAGTTCTGATAGCCAGACTTGAGATTTGTCTTGAATAGTAGCAGAACTGGTAGTTCCCAGAACTTTCTGACAAAGCTTTTACAGTGCTGGCTCAAAGCTGCAATCTCACTGAGTAAGGTGAGATGGTATCATGTGTATGACATGTTGAAGTCAGGATAATGGGACCATGGGTATGACATCTATCCTAGCATCAGCCTTTCTGGCAAAAAAAAAAAAACTTTTTGTTTTTCTAAAACTCCAACAATTGAACTAAATACAAATAATTCTAAGCCTGCTATTGGCTACGTGGCACCAGGAGAAGTTGCTAAATTACTCCATGCCTCAGTTCTCCTAACACAAATAATGGTGGTTGTTGCTGCTTTTGTTAATTTCTCCCCTATGAAATGAGAAGGCTGGACTAAACCAGGAGTTCTCAAACATGCTTAGATGCTTGGTCTTCTTAGAAAACTGAACCTGGGGAGGGTAAGTGGCCCACTGGTTAAAGACGCCCACGTCCCGTATCAGAACGCCGAGTCCGGATGCTCAGCTCCAGCTCCCGACTCCAGCTGCCTGCCGTCGCAGACCATGGCAAGGAGCATTTAGGGCTCAGCTGGAGTAGTGGAAGCCCTGGATTGCGTTCCTGCCTCCCGGCTGCTGCTCTGGCCCAGGCCCAGCCAATGTGGGCATTTGGGGAGTGAGCCAGCACAAGGGAGTTCTCTCTGCATAGTTGTCTGTGTTCCTTTCTCTCTCTCTGTCCCTCAAAAAAATGTTTAAGACAATCAAAACAGGGTTGGGCATTTGGTACGGCATTTAAGACTGCATTTGGGAAGCCTGCGTCCATGCCAGAGTGCCTGGGTCTGAGTCCCAGCTCCACTCCTGACCCCAGTTTCCTGCTAACACGCTCCCTGGGGGATAGTAGGTGATGACCCTAGTAGATGGGTCCCTGCCACACACACTGGAGACCTGGATTGAGTCCCTGACTCCCAGCTGTGGCCTGGCCAACCCCCAGCTGTTGTGGGTATTTGGGGAGTGAGCCAATGGACAGGAGTGCTTTCTTTCACTCGTTTGCTCTTGCTCTCCTGCTTTCCAAATAAATTAAATGAATAATAAATTTTTTTAAAAAGTAGCTAAACTCACATTTGGAGGTCCTCTGGAAAAAGCTGTAAAAGTAAGCTGCTTTGCACACTTCTATAAATCCTCACGAAAAGCTATTGTAAAAATGTAAGAGCGTTTGAAATTCCTTCCCACAGCCTGTGGAAAGAAAATGCGTTGCAGGTATCCATTGCCGCTGTGGCCTGAGAAGGTAAAAGCCCCTGAGCCTGACAAAGCCCTGTGCGCCCCAGGCTGTGGTCACGAAGACTAAGGCAGCTGCAAGGGGGACAGGAAACAGCATCTGTGCCCAGGACACACCACCACCACCGTGGAAAGAGTCAAATAACCCATTTGGGTGCCGGCCACTTTCTCACTCACCTCGAAGACTTGTTCTGGAAAAGCACTGACCATCAAAAGCATTGCTGATTAAAATCGTAAGAATGAAGCAGCCTACACGGGGGTCCCAGCTGCTTTGACGCAAAAAAAAGCAGCCTTGGTTTGCAGCCAGGTGGATTCTGGATGTACCATCAACATCCATATAACACTGCACCTCCAAGGACACAGGACCCTGAGTCCACTGTGCAGTCCAAACCCGATATGGACACTTGGTGCCCAGCTGTGCTTGCTCTAAGCCCCTCAGGGCACTGTTTTCTTTCTTCTTCTTTTTTTTTTTTGACAGGCAGAGTGGACAGTGAGAGAGAGAGACAGAGAGAAAGGTCTTCCTTTGCCGTTGGTTCACCCTTCAATGGCCACCGCGGCCGGCGCACCATGCTGATCCGATGGCAGGAGCCAGGTACTTATCCTGGTCTCCCATGGGGTGCAGGGCCCAAGCACTTGGGCCATCCTCCACTGCACTCCCTTGCCACAGCAGAGAGCTGGCCTGGAACAGGGGCAACCGGGACAGAATCCGGTGCCCCGACCGGGACTAGAACCCGGTGTGCCGGCGCTGCAAGGCAGAGGATTAGCCTAGTGAGCCGCAGCGCCGGCCTAGGACACTGTTTTCTTTATATTTCACCTGCACCCCAGCCTTCCCCTAACTGTCCTCTGGTAATGCAGCACCAGCTTCCTCTGCTTTCGGTCTCCCTTCATTGCAATGAACCAGCACACCTGACTTTGTGCCTGCAGCTCTGTCCCTGGAGGTCTCTCAATGGACAAGGCAGGCCGTGTACCAATCAAAAGATCTTGGTGAAGCCACCTGACCTCTTTCTCACACCTGTAAAATGATCTTTACCATACAGTAGTCCCCCTTTGCCCTTGATTTCACTTTCAGTCCTTTAAGTTTTTCATAGTCAAATACAGTCCCAAAATACTCATATTTGTGTTGACTGGTTCAAAAGAACACATTCACTTAAATGTTACATAGTATTTTCATTGTTCTATTTTATTAGCTGTTATTGTTAATCTCTTACAATGCCTAATTTATTTTTAATTTTGTAAAAAAGATGTGTTTATTCATTTGAAAGGCAGAGTTAGAGAGACAGGGTGGGAGAGAGAGAGAGAGAGAGAGAGAGATTCCATCTGCTAGTTCACTCCCTCAATGGCTGCAGTAACCAAGGCTCTGTCAGGCCGAAGCCAGGAGCCTTGAACTCCATCTGGGTCTCCCATGTGGCAGGGGCATCTTCTTCTGCTTTCCCAGGCACATTAGCAGGAAGCTGGATTGGAAGCTGGGACTCAAACCAGCGTCCATAGGGGAGGTCAGCAATGCCGAGTCACAATGCCAGCCCCCTTAATTTATGAGTTTAACTTTATCAGAGGTATGTATGTGCAGGAAACAATACCGTATATACAGGGCTCAGTACTGCCCATGGTTTCTGGCACCCACAGGGGGTCTTGGAACACATCCCCCATGGACACGGGGAGGAGCTGATAAAGATCACTGATCATGCATATGAGAGCTCACCACAGACAGAACCACATATTTAGGATTATTTATTGGAAGTAGTACTTACAGCAAGAAGTTTCAACTATAAAAAATACTTCTTCTCAACATCCGCTCGCCAGCCTTCCTGTTTCAACCGTCCTGTCAATGAGCACGAGTGTGTGGTTCAGCTGGATCGAGCTCAGATCCTGGCAGTGCTGTGTACTGGCAGCTTCCTCTGCTCCTCAGAGTCGTTTCTTGTGCTGAACGGGGGCGGGAGTGGCTCACGCTGTTGTGCAAGAGTGGGAATGAGACGCGGGTCATTCTGTGCAGGGCACCTGGCCCCTCGGTGGCGTCGAGCCTCGTTTCAGCTTGTGATGTCTACATTTCTAGGCGCTAGGTTGGCAGCATTTCCTTTAAAGAGCTGCTGTTTGGATGTCAGGGCCCAGTGCCTGATTCCATTTTCAGGAAAAAACAGCCGTGGTGTAATGGGGCCCAAGGGAAGTTATGGATGGTGATGGCTTTGGTGATGTGACCAGTTGCATCCTGACGGATGGCCTATCTGGCTGGTAAGAGCACTACTTCTGAAAATTCCCCTATTTGTGATTAGAGATTTATGCACCAAAACTAAAGAAATAATGTCATATTGTGCTTCACCTCAGTCCTTCCTTGTTATTCCTGAACTTAGAGAAGATGGCCAATAATAAACATTCTTAACTGCAATTGCTTAGTGAATTCATGTACTTTTTAGAAAAGATACTGCAAATCTTTTGTGCAGAAAAGGTCAATGCCTTATTTTTTTAAATCTGACAGCAGCCTCCATCATCTGTAAAACAGGAATTCCAGAAATGCCAGGACTTAGTGTGTGTGAATGGAGCCTCTCAGGTTGGTTTTCCCCATTCATTAATTTCTTTGCTGGGCAAATTGTTCAGCTCTGAGACCTGTTATACCAAGGAAAATAACTCAACAGAATGAAAAGAAAAAAACAATCCTGCTGCTTTCAAATTAAATGACACATTGGCCATGAGGGTGGGCTTCATGCCTTTCTTAAAAAAAAAAAAAAGATTTTTATTTATTTATTTGACAGATAGAGTTACAGATAGTGAGAGAGAGAGAGACAGAGAGAAAGGTCTTCCCTCCATTGGTTCACTCCCTAAATGGCCACAATAGCTGGAGCTGCGCCAATCTGAAGCCAGGAGCTTCTTCCTGGTCTCCCACGTGGTTGCAGGGGCCCAAGCACTTGGGCCATCCTCCACTGCTATCCCAGGCCACAGCAGAGAGCTGGACTGGAAGAGGAGCAATCAGGACAAGAACCCAGTGCCCATATGGGATGCCGGCTCCTCAGGTGGAGGATTAACCTAGCGTGCCACCGCGCCGGCCCCGGGCTTCATGCCTTTCTACAGGGGCTTGCAGCAGCAGGCTCTCCCTGTGTCCTTCTGCCCTGTAAAGAATAGTGGTTTCCCCCGCTTTGCAAGAGCAGTGTACAAGGTGCCATCTTGGAATCAGACTGGGCCCTCACCAGACACCAGACCCACCAGCACTGTGACCCAACACTTCCCAGCCTCCAGAATGCTGGGAACGAACTCTCTCCTCCTGATGAATTGCCCCGCCTCGGGGTTCTGCTATTGCACAACACAGACCAAGACAATAGAACTTGGCGTTTAAGGACCAAAAATGGCCAAGCTGGATAATTCTGGTTAAAGGTGACTTCCTGGTTAAGCTCCTTGGAGCTGGCGAAGGAAATATTTGCTGAGATGAACATATGCAGAGCAACTTGCTGGCCACATGATACCGAGGCTGGAGGGGGCGGGAGTCGGGAGAGTGACAGCCTGGATGAGCAGAAACCCAGCCCCGTGGTGAGGTGAACCCGGGCAGTGAATGACTCAGCTGAACGGTTTGGACGCATCCTAACAGACCCGGTGAGGCCACCCAGCTTCTAGAAACCACCAGGGTGGTTGGCGTGCCAAGAGCTCCTACGTAACCCACCAGCCCGAAACCCGCATGCCAAGGACTTGTCTCAACAGCCTGATCCTTCCCCTTTCAAAACCCTGAGACTCTGGTCTCTGCTAGGGAGCACCCCAGCCTCGCCTGGTCAGGGCTCTCTTCACAGCGTGCGCCACGGACAGTAATATAAATCCTCACTAAGCTGCATCCATGCACCTGCGCAGTCCTCACCCCGCTCCTAGACGGCTGGTCCAGAATCTGCACTTTTAGAAGACTGACTTACTTATTTGAAAGGCAGAGTGAGAGAGAGAGAGAGAGAGAAAGAGATATGGAGAGACAGAGGGAGGAGGAGAGAGATACCTTCCGTCCACTAGTTTGCTCCCCGAATGGTTGCCACAGCCAAGGCTGGACCAGACTGAAGCTGAGCGCCAGGAACTCTAGCTGGGTCTCCTATGTGGTGACAAGGACCCAAGGGCTTGAGCTACCATTTGCTACCTTCCCAGATGCATTAGCAGGAAGCTGGATCAGAAACAGGGGAGCAGGGACTCCACCCCAGGCACTCTGATAGGGCACGCAGGCATCACAACGCAGCAGCTTAATCCGCTCTGCCACAATGCCCACTCCAGAATCTGCATTTAAAACTCTCCTCGCTTGGTTCACATGCACATTTACCTTTGAAAAGCACTGGACTAAATCCTCAATGAACCGCATCTCTCCAAATGGAACCAGCACTGCCGTCATTTGTCAAAATGCCTGTCCCTGGGCCCCACTCCCAGAGCTGCTGGCTCAGGAGGCCTGTGTGTGGGCCCAGATGGTGTTTCTAAATTCCTAGGTGTTGCTGACAGTGCTTAGCTAGGAGCGCATTTCAAAACTGTTTCTGCTGCCCAAGTTTGGCACTGCAACCCTCATCAGAGTGCCTAGCCAAAGATCCACCTCCACCCCGTGAAGTCCAGCTCCCTGCCTTAGGGGCAGTGGACAGATGATGGCTCAAGTACTTGGGTTCCTGCCACCCAACGGAGCAGACCGGGATGGGGTTCCAGTCTCCTGGCTTCAGTCTGACCCAGCTCTGGCTGCTGTGGTTATTTATCTAGGGGAGTGAATGAGTGTGGATGGATGGCAGATATCTGAGTCTGTCTCTCATACATAAAATGAAAATACATAAATCAGTTAATGCATTTTTACAAAGTATTGCTTAATGCTCTCTGCAATTTTTCACCCCACATGCCCTAGTCTGTGTTGGGCCTACTTTCCTTCTATTTGTTTCACATTCCTTGGCTGACACAAAAAAGAAAAAAAAATGCAATAATGATGAAGCACTTTTTTCTCTTCAAACATAATTTAGAATACCACTACTCAAGAATATTCATGTGTTAAAAATACACACGAGGCAGGACTTTCTATACTTTCAATTTAATCACGAACTGTCCAAGAGGAAAAAAAAAACTGAAAACTAATGGCTTATGAAGCCGATCTCTTAGATTTCCATGGGAATTGTACACCAGCATTCTTGGAAATGTTTAGAAAAAGCTTTCGGCTAATGCTCAGGCACGAGGAATTGGGGGAGGGGGAGGAGGCAGGAAGCGACCAAGGGGTCCCTGCTGGTCTGATAACGAGATGCCTGGTGTTTCTCACGGGGCAGGGCGCAGAAGCGGCCTCTGCCCCATCTCTGTGTCTTCCCTGTCACCTGGGCCCCCAAAGTAGCATTGCTTAAACCCCACATGAAAAACACATGTCCAGGCCGGCACCACACTCACTAATCCTCCGCCTTGCGGCGCCGGCACACCGGGTTCTAGTCCCGGTCAGGGCGCCGGATTCTGTCCCGGTTGCCCCTCTTCCAGGCCAGCTCTCTGCTCTGGCCAGGGAGTGCAGTGGAGGATGGCTCAAGTGCTTGGGCCCTGCACCCCATGGGAGACCAGAAGAAGTACCTGGCTCCTGCCATCGGATCAGCACGGTGCCCCGGCCGCAGCGCACTGGCCACGGCGGTCATTGGAGGGTGAACCAACGGCAAAGGAAGACCTTTTTCTCTGTCTCTCTCTCACTGTCCACTCTGCCTGTCAAAAAAAGGAGAGGAGAGGAGAGGAGAGGGGAGGAGAGGGGAGGGGAGGGGAGGGGAGGGGAGGGGAGGGGAGGGGAGGGGAGGGGAGGGGAGGGGAGGGGGGAAGGAAGAAAAGAAAGGAAGAAAGGAAGAAAGAAAGAAAGAAAGAAAAGAAAAGAAAGAAAGAGAAAGAAAAGCACATGTCCAGAAACCTCAGTCTTCCACCTGCGGAGGCTTAAATCTAGTGCTGGGGCGGGGGGAGGGGAGGGGGCAAGGAGACAGGTGCTAAGTAAGCTCTCCAGTTAAATAAAACAACCAAAGCTTTTTTTTTTTTTTTTAAGGGGGGATCGGTAAATAAGGGGGCAGCTGACCACACGGTCGGTTACCTGTCTCCCGCGGAAGGCCTGGGAGGTGCGCGCACCGGTGTCAGCGGGCGGGGATGAGTGTGCGTGGGCTCGGGCTCCTGAGTCAGAAGCCCTGCGGCCCAGGTGTTAAGTCTGCATCTGTCACGGCTGAGCACGGGCGTCCAGGTGCGTTAGCGTGGACACGTGCGGCCAGGAGCGTCCCCAGGTGCGTGGGGCTCGCGTGTCCGCGTCCTGTATGCAGCACACCCCACGCGTGTCCAGTTGGGTCGGCCGCGACGTGGGTTTAGCTGCGCGGGCCCCGGCGCGCGGCGCGGCCAGGTGCGCGCGGCCAGCGGTGGCCGCCTCGGGCGCCGCGTCCGGCCTGCAGGGGGCGCCGCCCGGGGCGGCCTGGGGGCCGCGGCGCGGGCACGGCCGGGCGTTTCCGCTCGGCGGCGCCCAGCGGGCTCTCCCCGACGGCGCCGGCTCGGCCGCAGGTGAGGCGCCGGGGCGCGGGGGAACTCGGGGCGCCGCGGGCCGAGCTCGGGAGGGCCGGGTCAGCCGGCGGGGACGTGCGGCGGCGGAGCGCGTGCCCCGGGAGCCGACGGGGTCGGGGCCGCGCGTGGGGACGGGGCGGGCGAGGCGGCGGCCGTCCCCACACGTTTCTGACCGGAAACCCTGCCGGGAGGGCCCCGCGCTGGTGTCGGGAGTCCATTTGTGGAGACGTTGCTCGGGCTGCCCGCGCTGGGCGGGAAACGCACGCACCCGCTCAGCTCGCCCTGCGGCTGCCGACTCCCGGCTTCTCGGGGGCTGGTGGTGCAGAGAGGAGAAAAAGGCGCCAGATTTGTAGTCTTAAAGAAAGAAAGAAAGAAAAAGCAGGTTGTTTTGCTAAATGTCCCAGGAATTTAAAAAAAAAAAAAAGATGTCAATCTTCTGGCTTGACCCATATAAAATGTAGGTCTCTCTGTCTCTCACCCTCACACAGACACACTTTCTTCTGTTTTCCCAGCGTGGAAGGCCGCTCCCTGACCTCACTGGATGCGTTGGAGTGTTCAGACAGAAACGGCCTCTGGTTTGGCCTCGTTTCCCAGAATGCCTCGTTTTCCAGGAACTGCGCGTTCCTGCAGAGCCAGCTGCTCCAGGCTCGTGGGGGGCCCAGTAGTCGAAGTGTCTTGGGCTGTTCTGGACCGGTGGCCCTCACCAAGCAGGGCCTCCACTGTGGCTGGGAGACGTGGAGAGGGCCGGCCGTCGTTCGTGGTGACTTGGGCGGTGTGTGGACACATCAGAGATCTGTTCCTTTTCCTCTTTATTTCACATAGACCTAGGACGATCTCACGGCCGCTCCCGAAGGGGAGTCACTGGAAGGCTTTGTGCGCACTGTTAGCCGGGGCCTTTCCCTGGGTGGGGCGCCCCAAGGGCTGGCATGGAGGTGTCGGGCCCCAGTGTTTGGGCAGGGCCCTTAGGAAAAGTGGCTGCAAGAGGTTCGTCCTCTTCGTTAGTATTCTCTAGAAATTGTCCGCGTGGGTCAGCCTTGGCTCCTGGAGTTTTTTCACGGCGCCCTGGTTACACCGGGCCGGCCCTGTCCAGTCGAAGGTCACTGTTATTAATACAGTCAGGGAAGTAGAGAAGGGCAAGAGGGCCTTGTTCAGGTTGCGAGGCGCTCCCGAGCCCCAGGGCTTGCCGGCGGAGCTCACTCTGTGTAAGCTTCCACACGTGTCCAGAAAGACCTCTCCGAAGTCTCTGGCTTTGCGTGGCCTTGTGAAGTCGCCGATGTTGGTAGCAGCCAGAATGTCAGGAAGGAGGCAGCGGTGAGAGCTGAGGCCTCCCTGGAGGAGTGGGCGAGGGCGCGTGTGGGCTGGACCTTGATGGAGGGTGGGTTTTCATAGGCCCACCTATGGGGCGCTGACACCAGGCGCGAAGGGGAAGGAGAAGGTTCTGGAGAAAGGTGAGCTGGTCAGCTGGGTCTTCTGCAGCTGGGCCATGCCCGCCAGCAAAGGCCATCTCTGATTAACTGCTTACCGCCCCTCGGTCTGGTTTGTTTTCATAGGAAGTTTTTAAGAAAACATGCAAGCACAGGGACCACTGTAATGAATCTCAATATCTGTCAAGTCGATATTGCCATTCTTGCGTATCCTTAGCTGCTCCATTTGTTTTGTCGTTAAAGCAATTTAAAACAGTTTATTTGAGGCAACATGACATATCACCCATAAGTATAGTCCAACGCACATCTCCCAAAAAAGGGCATTTTCTTTTTTAAGGATTTCTGTACTTGAAAGTCAGAGTTTCAGAAAGAGAGGGGTGAGGGGGACAGAGATTTTCCATCCGCTGGTTCATTCCCCAAATGGCTGCAATGGCTGCGGCTGGGCCAAGCAGAAGCCAGGAGCCTGGAACTCCATACGGGTCTCCCATGTGGGTGGCAGGGACCTAAGCACGTGGACCATCTCTGCCGATTTCCCAGGCACATTAGCAGAGAGCTGGAGCTGAAGCAGAGCAGCCAGGACTCTGGCATCCACGTGGGGTGCCAACATCACAGGTGGTGACTTGACCCGCTGTGCCACAAAGCCAGCCCCAGGCATTTTCTTCTGTAGCCATATCATTATCATAATGAAATTGAAAATAATTTCTTCATGTCTTCTGGAATCCAGCCCATAGATTGCCCTGAACGCCTCCAAAATGCAGTTATTTTTAGTGTTGTTTTCTGTGAATTGAATCCAAACAAGCCACACACGGTGTTTTGGTGAAAAGCTGTTGTCTCCTTCAGTCTGGGCTAGGGGATGGTGAACCTTCCCTGTGAAGGGCCAGGTACCAGCTTTCCTAGGCTCTCAGGCCTTGCGGCCCCTGTACAGCCGCGCCACTGTGCCACTGTCATAGAATAGTGGCCGTGGCTGGTGTGTGAATGAGCGTGCATAGCTGTGTCCCAGTGACACTAAGTTTTCTCTCTTTTTTAATGTTTTTAAAAAGATTTATTTATGGATTTGAAAGGCAGAGAGAGAGAGAGAGAGAGATCTTCCATCCGCTGGTTCACTCCCCACGTGGCACAATGGCTGGGGCTGGGCCAGGTTGAAGCTAGGAGCTTCCTCCGGGTCTGCTACGTGCATGTAGGGGCCCACGTATCTGGGCCATCTTCCACTGCCTCCCCAAGCGCTTTAGCAAGGGAGCTGGATGGGAAGTGAGCAGCTGGGATTCAAACCATATGGGATGCTGGCGCTACTGGCGGAGGCTGAACCTGCTACACCACAACACCAAGTTGTCTTCCTTAAAACATACTGGTGGGCTGGACTTAGCTGCAGACCATGCTTTGCCCTGGTCTAGAGCTGTCCCTGTTGATTTCTTGAATGCCAATGGCTGTCAGATGCACTTGGCTGGTTGGGTGTGGGAGGCCTCATGTTCTGGGTTTATTTGGCTGCTGGGGGTAACATCTGGCCTGCAGGCCGTGTGAGGCCCTCAGAATCATTTGGTCTGGCCCTAGCAAAGCAACTGCAGGTGTCACTCAAGATCCAGTATATCTGTGTCAGGCTAATTCTTAATAATTTCATATGGTCTCACAAATGATGTTATAAATATCCAAATGGCCCTTGGCAGAAACGAAGGTTCTCCACCCCTGACTTGGCTGGCCTGGGGATGGTGGGGTTTAGCTTGCTCCTCTGTCCCCTGTGTTTCCTATAAATTGGATGTGAACCCTAAAGGCTTAATTAGATTCATGCTCAATTAGGGGACTTGAGAAGCGGTTTGTACTGTGCCAGTTTATGTGAATTTAGAAGACTTGGGAGCCCTCATCTATAGCAGGCTTGGCCTGGTGGCTGAGAATGTCCCTTGTCTTGTTTGGCTTGCTGGTAGGAGGAGCCGTGGCTGTTTATTTCTCAAGGAGGCAGGGAACTTGCACCCCTGCTCTGGGTCGGTGGGAGCTGTTTTCTGTCTCAGGCATTCCATGTGCCCTTAGTCTGGTGGCCACGGTTTCCCTCCAAACAGAAGTGCTTTATTTACTCAGATGCATGCTGAGGGCCAGAGAGGGCCTTCTCCACTCCACTTCCTCTTCTCTTACAGCCCCAGTGGGCCCGAGAACTGGGTTTCCCGTCTACATGGATTTTGTTGTCTCTGTGTCAGGTGGGCGTACCTGTCCTGGCATCCTTGAAGGATGCCAAAGCCAGATGCTTTTAAGACTCTCGGCTTGGGGCCAGCATTGTGGTGTAGCCAGTTAAGTCACCTCCCTCGATGCCTGCATCCCATATGTGTGCCAGTTTGAGATTGGCTGCTCCACTTTGGATCCAGCTCCCTGCTAATGTGCCTGGGGAAGCAGTGGAGGATGGCCCAACCGCTTGGGCTGCTGCACCCACTTGGGAGACCTGGACGAAGGTCCTGGCTCCTGGCTGTTGAAGCCAGTGGATGAAAGATATCCCCCCCCCCCACCGCCGCCCTCTCCCTCTCCTCTCTCTCCCTCTTCTCCCCCAACCCTGTAACTCTGCCTTTCAAATAAATAAGAAATAAATTAAAAAAAAAAAAAAGGACCCTTGCCTCTCAGAGGCCTTGGACTCTGGGGCGGCACGTCTTTGAAAATGCAAGCCTACAGGTGAAAATGATCCTGTCTCGTGCTCAGTGCTCCTGACTCCCAGAGCACCCGAGCACGCAGCTCATAAGTAGTGCTAGCCAGAAGCCCTTGTCGTTTTTGTCATGTAAGAACAGTAGGGGGAAACTTTGTTCACCCCTTCATCCATTTTTCTACTGGGTGTGATCTTTCCTTACTGATTTATAAGAATTATTTGTATATTGAGAATACTAATCTCATTTTCTAATTTTTTATAATTACCCCCAATTTTTAAGTAATTTTTGTAGTACTTATGCTCTCTAGAAAACTAGTTTTATGGAGTGAAAAACATCTGTCTCCCTTGACAATTCGTTTGTTTTGTATTTTGCTTAGAAAGACCTGCCCATGTCACAGTTTTTTCTTAAATACATGTAAACACAGGTAAACCAACATGCAGTGAGATCTGGTGATTCTGAAAAAATAATATTAAAGGGGGGTTACTTCTGCTGGGTATTCTAATACCGAGTTAATGAACTGCAGGCATTAAGATTGGCCCTAGGTGGCTAGTGTCCAAGTAGGGAGATGGGTGTTTGAGGGATCAGGATACCACTACCCTAGTTTTGTATCTGTTTGACTTCCAGAATAGGAAGGGTTCCTTTACAAGAAGAGAAGGGGGAACCCTGTCTCTGTCCCCTCCGGTCACATCCAGCAGCTGTTTATTTAGGCTGTGGGTTCAGGGCGCGGGGCTCCTATGTTAATAAATGCATAAGTTCTTGGAACTTGTACTTCTCACATGGGAGGCAGATGTCATGATTAAGAGCAGCAAGTCCTCTGTCACACTGCCTGCCTTCCAGTCT